AAACAGACCTCTTGTTTTCTTCCAGGAACCAGCAGCCATTAAGACTATGACCATCTCTTCCAAGAGGGTGAGTTTTTGGCAGTGTGGGCTGGAAGTGAGGTTAGAGCCTGTGTCCCGTTGGGGTCATGCCCTTGGCATAAGGACAGGGAAACTGAAACATGAAACAAGGAAGAGGCGTCCAGCCCTACTGGCTGCTGATAGGGCTGTCTGAGACAAGAATACCGACACTCCTCCGCTTCTGCGCCCAGCAACAACTGTATGTGGCCTCAGCTGTGGGCGTCACACACCTGAGCCTGCACCGCTGCCAGGCCTATGGAGCCGCCTGTGCTGACTGCTGCCTCGCCCGTGATCCTTACTGTGCCTGGGATGGCCAGGCCTGTTCCCGCTACACAGCATCCTCCAAGAGGTATAGACTGCCAGAACCTTGGGATTTTATCCACAGCTCTGGGAGCTCAGAGGTAGATAATGCCGGGGGGGGGTGGGGGGTCCAGAGTGAACTGCCCTGTGGCAGAGGGCCCTGTGTTACAGTCTTGGGGTGTGGGAACCTGGGAGCAAGCCTCCCAAGAGCACTTTTTCAGGAGTTGTCCTTAACCAGGCGGAGTCGCCGGCAAGATGTCCGCCATGGGAACCCCATCAGGCAGTGCCGTGGGTTCAATTCCAACGGTGAGTAAGCATGGTGCACCTCCTGAGGTGCTTCTCGCCTATGCCCACAGACACCCCCACGGTGCAGGCTTGCAGATGGCTCCCTGGGTGGTGGGAACCTTAAGTCTAGGATTGGGGTGTCCTGTGTCACTCTCTGTGGATAGATGCCCAGCGATGAGGCCCTGTCTTTGTGTGGGTGCCCCTTGATGCCTGCCTCTCCCACTGCACAGACTGACTGCCTAGGAGCAATGAGTGCTGCTTCCACTCAAGGCCCTCTTGATCCACAGCAAACAAGAATGCCATAGAGTCTGTGCAGTATGGAGTGGCTGGCAGTGCGGCTTTCCTTGAGTGCCAGCCTCGCTCACCCCAAGCCACCATTAAGTGGCTGTTCCAGCGAGATCCCAGTGACCGGCGCCGTGAGGTGAGTTCCTTTGTCCCAGAAGGGGCAAATGCTGCACTATGGATATGGGAGTTCCCTTTTCCAGTGGTTAGCCCATGTGAGAAGTATAGCAGAGCTGCCAGCCTGGGCAGCCCTCGTTCTGTAAAGCCCTTCTGCGCACCCATCCTTACACCAAAAGCATTTGAGTGAAATGAGTTACATAGAAACTCTGTGGGATAGGCTTCAGTATATGGAAAACATTCATAGGTTGGCTTCATTTAATAAAAATTCCATATCTGAGCTGGTCATGGTGGTGCACGCCTTTAATCTCTGCACTCAAGAGTCAGAGGCAGGTGGATCTCTGAGTTCAAGGCCAGCCTGGTCTACAGAGCGAGTTCCAGGACAGCCAGGGCTACAAAGAGAAACCTTGTCTTGAAAAAAAAAAAAAAAACAAAAGAACGAAAGAAAACATTCCATATCTGTACTCTGTTGGGGTAACCCTCCTTGTATGGAAGATCATGTGGTGAGCTCCAGTATATGAAAATTCTGTGGGTATTTTCTGGAAAAGCCCTACCGGTGTCCCTTTTTACATGGAAATGGTATGTGGGTGCCACAATTGGGTATTCTCATTAAATGAAAATTCTGTCTGTGCTCCAAAATTCTCTCATTCATTGTTCAGAACCCTCCCCTAGGGTCATCATCCCTCCTGAAGTGGGAATATGAGTGGGTACCTTATTCAGATTCCTCTCATGTGCAAACAGTACGTGGGCTTTTTTTCTTGGTTTGTGGAAATACCATGTGGGTGTCTCTACTTGGAATGGCCACAAAGGTGATCTCGTCTGGAAGCTGGCTAGGGCCGTGGAGTGGTGACCCAGCCCCTGAGCCCCCACCCCCTACCCCTGCAGATTCGTGCAGAGGACCGCTTCCTGCGTACAGAGCACGGGCTGCTGCTTCGTGCCCTGCAGCTCGGTGACCGCGGCCTCTACTCCTGCACGGCCACTGAGAACAACTTCAAGCACATCGTCACTCGGGTGCAGCTGCATGTCCTGGGCCGGGACGCCGTTCATGCTGCTCTCTTTCCCCCACTGGCTGTGAGCATCCCTCCACCTGGTGCAGGCCTCCCCACACCTCCTTACCAGGAGCTGGCGCAGCTCCTAGCCCAGCCGGAAGTGGGCCTCATCCATCAGTACTGCCAGGGTTACTGGCGCCATGTGCCCCCCAACCCCAGGGAGGCTCCAGGAGCACTTAGGCCTCCTGAACCCCAGGACCAGAAAAAGCCCCGGAACCGTCGCCACCACCCTCCGGACACATGAGGCCAGCTGCTGGAGGCCTACCTAGGACCAGCCTAGCCCCTCATCCCTTTTAATATAAAAGATATATATATATATATATAAAAAATATCTATATTCTATACATACCCTACCCCTGCAAAGACAGTATTTATTGGTGGGTTGTATATTGCCTGCCTCAGTGGCAGCATTATCCAGGACTTAGACCCATGTTGGTCAGCAACGGCACATGACTGAGCATGCCCAACCTGGCCCAGGAAATTGCCAGGGCCAGGCCAAGACTATACAGTCCCCAGACTCCGCGGAAATCTCCTTGCTCGACAGCTGTCAAGATCTACAGAACACAGGGAGGGAGCAAGCCCTGTTTGCCGGGGCATGGACCATATACCTTTGCTGATGAGTATCGTCAGCTGTGCTGTGCCATAGACATGGACATCAGGACTGCTGTGGAGTCTGGGGCTGGGGCCTCAGGCCACTCAGGAGGGAGGGAGGGGCCATCACAGGATTCAGGCCCCTGCTTGGGTCAGGGGTGCTCAGTCAAGGCCAACCTTTCCCAGGTATTTATTCTCTATTTATTGGGGACAGAAGAGAGGTCTGCCTGGGTGGGCAGGGCCTCTTCTCCCTCCCTGGCCTGGCCTGGCAGGCCCACCCCACTCTACCTCCTTAGCTCTTCCTATGCCACCTTGACCCATGGGGAGGGATGCAGTGGAGCTCAAAGGAGCCCCCAGCCCTGAGGGTAGATGGGCCACGGTGGAGGCCCCAGGCCTGCAGGGCATCCCCAAAGTTCCCTTCTGCCCACTGCTTCAGGTGATGGGTGTAAATAGCTCTGGGGGCAGTTGGGTAGATGGGTGGGGGGCTCCTGTAGCCCTCTGCTACCCAGGCCACAGCCACTCTTGGGTTCCATCTTGCTAATAAACACTGGCTCTGGGACTAGACTTTGCTTTCTCTGCTTGGTGGTTGGAGTGGGAATGGAGATGGGTTAGGCCCACGCTTCTAATCTCAGCACTTGTGAGGCAGAGGCTGGCAGATCTCTGTGAGTTTGAAGCCAACCTGGTCTACGGCGCAAGTTCCAGGACAACCAGGGCTACACAGAGACCCTGTTTCAAAAACTAAAAAGACTCAAACTCCCCCATGTTGGCACTTAGTTCATTTGGGGGCTGGGGAGATGGCTCAGGGGCTCAAAGCACCGGCTGTTCTTTCAAAAAGAGGACCCCAGTTCACAGCAGCTCACAACTGTAACTCCAGTTTCAGGGGATCCAACACTCTTCACATAAACATGTGCAGACAAAACACCAATAAAAAAATAAAGGAGAAGAATCCATATATAGAAAACAGGCTGGTTTAATTAGCCAGGGCTCCTGTGCCCAAGACCCTTGTGGCACAGAAGAAGCAGTCTTGCTCCTGAGCAGAGTCCTCCTCACTCAGGATGATTGCCCAAAGTGCCAGTTCAGGGTATCTACTTCTACACGTCCTGATTAGGGATGCCTCCATGCGCAGTGCCTGGGATGCTGGCACTCCCCTAGTAGTCTGTTGCACAGTTGAGTCTGGTTTCAGGAAATCCAGCGAGGAGGCTCCAGACTAATACAGAGAAACTTGGGAGCCGAAGACGTGGGGTTTCCAATTGTATGCAGATGGGAAGTCTCCAGAACCTAGGAGTTGAGCTTAGCAGGTGCCATATTTCACCAGCTGCTACCCCTGAGCAGGTCTCCAGACCAGAGTGGACACTGTCACGTTTTGGTGGTGCCCTGTGCAGGTCCCAAGATGGAAGAAGGGCAAGTGAACCCCAACTCTCCCCTACTCCAGGGAGCACCAAGCTTCAGCGTCTATATTTGACAATAGATCTGCCAAAGATTCAGAGTTTAGCCACCTCTATAGTTAGTTTGTTGCACTTAAATATACATGTATATGTAGACAAATGTATAAGCATGGACTGGCACACACAGGGACATAGGTGTGCATCGAAATACATAGACAATTGGGCTGTAGAGCGTCTATCACAGTTACATTAGCACATTCAGGCACACGTGAACAGACATCTATGAACATACACAAAGCACTGCAAAATAAACATGAACACCTGTACAGGCGCGCATAGGGTGCAGCTCAGGAGTAAAGTACATGCCTAGCATGCAGGAATCCCTAGATTTGATCCCCAGCACACACACACATTGCATGCATAATCACATAAGCAGGTGTGTGAGGGCACATGTACTCACATACAGGCTCAAGTGTAGTCATTACTTGGTTCTAGTAAGGAACAGAAAGACACACCCAGGCATGTATAGCAGACTCAACCTGTAGAAGGCATGTAGAGACCATGTTCGGGGTCACATTTAGCCCTGAATGTGAGGCAAATATGAAGTCACCTACTCCCTTGTGGCTTCCATCAGGCACAGACCCTCTGATCCAGAGACACCCACACTTGTGAACCACTGCTAATCATGTGACCCTGTGCTCCTCCTAATCAGAAAATGGGGCTGTGGTTTGGGCATCACCTTCCCCCAAGCTCCATGTAAGCTCAAGAAAGAGTGGTCACAAACAACAGCCGGGCAAGCGGGAGGTCATGTGCTGTCCTTAGCATTGCCCTGCTAGCCCCAACCCCAGTTGTACTTCCGGGGCTAAAGGGTCTTTCCCCTCAACTATACCCAACAGACTCCTATAGGACAGGGGTGGACAGTCTGGTCTCTTCTGGAGAATTGGAGGAGGCAGAGGGGTGCAGAGTCAGCAGCCAAAGGATTGGGGCCTTGCCAGGCTGATTAAAAGGCTAGGAGACTGAGCTTCACCTGCCCTTGTCCCTGATTGGCCCTCAGGCATTGCTAGCTCCCAAATCCCACTAAGCAATCCCACCAGGGCCTGCATAGGTCTGTGGAGAGCCAGTTGGTTGCCAGCTTTAGGGCCAAAAGGTTGTCTGAGGAGGCCAGAGGCTGCCTACCCTGTCCCTTTGCCTGCTGCTGGGACCATGGGGGCTGGGGCCAGTGCTGAGGAGAAGCATTCCAGAGAGCTGGAGAAGAAGCTAAAAGAAGATGCTGAGAAGGACGCTCGAACTGTGAAGCTGCTGCTGCTGGGTAGGTAGGGTGCTGTCCAGTGTCGGGGAGGGGACTGCTGCAGGTCAGCAGCCTGGGGCTAGGCAAGCAGTCTTTCCACAAAGCCCGGATTCTTTGGGGGGGGGGGAGTAACAATGTGGTGGGGCAGGGCACAGAGTGGGAGCCATTGCCGGCGAGGTCTGACAGGAGGTGATATCCCAGTCCCCCAAGGTTAGTCATCCTGTGGCAATTTCCTAGGGACACTCTTTTTTTTCTGCACAAGTGTGTACCAAACACACCTTTGAATAAATGTGTGCATTCTGGCACACCTTTGCCCTAACGGTATAGCCTTTGGTTTTCCAGGCCTGCTCAACAAGACTCCGGTCTTCTTGGCTGCCTTTTCTCCCTTGGGATTAAGAAATACCTAGGGTCACCAATGTCTGCAAAAGCACTGGGTGCCAGAATTTTATCATTGGTGAGCCAGCTAAAGAAAGTGGACCGATGTCAGGGCTACACAGAAAAACCCTGTCTGGGGTGGGGATTGTGGGGGGCAGGGGAGAAAGTGGAAAGTATTGATGCCTACATGAATAAATAAAGCCAGGTCCATGATCCCATGGACAGTGAGGAGAGATGGGGGTACTGTTGTTGTTTAACCCCCAAGGGAAAGTTGCTGGTTTAGGGGGCAGGCAGAGGTACTAAGCTAGGGCCCCCAGGAGAAAGGCCGAGAAGCTAAGCCGGAAATCCCATTAATTGTTTCCAATACCCTTGAGGAGGGCAGGCTCAGGAAGGATGTCAGCTCTGTCCTCTCCCCCATCTAAGTGTGCTAATTCCCTCTGAGCCTCTGAGAGACATCTCTTTAGTCTTTAGGTGAAAAGCAGAGGTTGGTCCCATTCAGAGAATCCTGTGCATGCAGTACTGGAAAAATCCACAAGGTGGCCCTAGAGGTTTCCTTATTTTGCTCTTGCAACATAATAAAGGCTCTATTCACCAAATCTTGGGGATATCACCCCCACCCCCCATGCATGAACTGATATAAGTCCTTTTTTTTTTTTTTTTTTTGTCATTTACAACCAAGACCCTCAGGGGTCTTCAAGACTTTACTTTGGATGGAAACGAGGGCTAGTGTATCTAGAGTTCTAGCTGGTACCCCAGGGCTCTGATCTACAGGTCAGTGCTGATCAATCAGTGCAGCTCTGAGGCACAGCTTTCCTTCCAGGTGCTGGTGAATCCGGGAAAAGCACCATTGTCAAGCAGATGAAGTGAGTTTCCCGCCCATTCTAAAGCCCCTAGCGATAGCCCTTCCCTACCAGCCCAGGAAGCTCTGACTCTTCCGGTCTTGGCTGCAGAATTATCCACCAGGATGGTTATTCACTGGAAGAATGCCTGGAGTTCATTGCCATCATCTATGGCAACACTCTGCAGTCCATCCTGGCCATTGTCCGTGCTATGACCACGCTCAACATTCAGTATGGAGATTCAGCCCGACAGGTGAGGCAGAGTATCAGTCCTTGGGGCCCTGGGGCCAAGGCACCAGGCTAGGCTCAGCTTCACAACCACTACCTACCCCTACCCTCAGGATGATGCCCGTAAGCTGATGCACATGGCGGATACTATTGAGGAAGGCACAATGCCCAAGGAGATGTCTGACATAATTCAGCGCTTGTGGAAAGACTCGGGTATCCAAGCTTGCTTTGAACGAGCCTCGGAGTACCAGCTCAATGACTCTGCTGGCTAGTGAGTGCACCAACAGGAGCGTGCCGGGAGCAGAGGAGGTGGGTGGGCAGGACCCAGCCTGGGGGTCTCCCACACCGCTCACTCACTCACTCACGCCCACTGGCCCACTCCCTCAGCTATCTTTCAGACCTAGAGCGCCTGGTGACTCCAGGGTATGTGCCCACTGAGCAGGATGTGTTGCGTTCTCGTGTCAAAACCACTGGCATCATCGAGACCCAGTTCTCTTTCAAGGATCTCAACTTCAGGTAAGACCCCTGCACTCTTGTTCAGCTAGCCTGACCGAAACTTCACTGTCCTGAGCAAAGGCTCTACCCTTGCCAGGAGAAAGGCTGGTCACCTCACACGCCAATTCATATGAGGACTCTCCAGCCAGCTTAGAAAAAAAAAAAAAAAGGGGGTGCCAGTGGGCATATCCAGGCAACCGGATACACGGGTCTGAATCCGGACACGGTTCTGTCCTGCAGAATGTTCGATGTGGGCGGGCAGCGTTCCGAGCGCAAAAAGTGGATCCACTGCTTCGAGGGTGTGACCTGCATCATTTTCATCGCTGCACTGAGTGCTTACGACATGGTGCTGGTGGAGGACGACGAAGTGGTGAGTGCCAAGCTGGGCCTGAGTGTTTGAGAAGGGAGGTAGAGCCAGGGGAGCCACTGAGACTCAGGAAGCAGAGGCTGTCTAGGAGCTGTTGGGTTGAGAAGGCGCCTAAGTCCCCGGAGCCCAGGGACCAAGGGACAGCTGCCTGAGTAGCTTGGTGCCCAACAACCTCTACCTTCCCCAGAATCGAATGCACGAGAGCCTGCACCTGTTCAACAGCATCTGCAATCATCGCTACTTCGCCACTACATCCATCGTGCTCTTCCTCAACAAGAAGGACGTTTTCTCCGAGAAGATAAAAAAGGCACACCTCAGCATCTGCTTCCCCGATTACGATGGTGAGATTCCCACCGCCAGGCGGTGCCCCGGTCCCACGATTCCCGCCGCGCTCCTTCCCGCGGAAGGTCTTCCTGCGCAGTGAGTGCTGCCCTCTGCCGCAGGACCTAACACTTACGAGGATGCTGGCAACTACATCAAAGTGCAGTTCCTCGAGCTTAACATGCGACGTGATGTGAAGGAAATCTATTCTCACATGACTTGCGCCACGGACACACAGAACGTCAAGTTTGTCTTTGACGCTGTCACCGATATTATCATCAAGGAGAACCTCAAAGACTGCGGGCTCTTCTGAGGTGGGGTCCTAGCTTGTCAGACACTGTCTTTCAATGTAATCTCAGGACCCCAACTTTGCCCTTAGTTCCTCCAGGTGCTCACTGCTCCAAACTGCCCTATTCCCTGCTGCCCATCTCTAAACCCCACCCCGAGGCCACTACCAGAGGCCTCTCCCCTCCCCAAAGTCCAGGTGCATAGGTTCCAGGGCTACCCCGACAACGACTAATCTCATTTGTTTTGCTGCTCAAGGATGCTGAGGTTCCTTTCCCTTTTCTCTTCACAGATACCTGGATTCATGTGCGTCCCTTGCTCCGAGACTCCGTAGCCCAGCAGCCCTGTAGTCCCCAATAGCTCCTGTGTCTCAACCTCTGCTCCACTAGCCACACCAAAGCCCTGAAGCTTCGAGTGCAGGACCCTCCCCCAAGTCCCCAACCCTACCCTGCCCTTCAACGCCTGGCTGCACTGGCCTCTTGGACCCACAGCAACTAGCCTCAACTAGGACAAGGCAGGACTTGGGACAGCTGGCGCTCACAGTGACTCAGCAGTGCCCAAATGACCCGGTCTCCTGACGCCCTTCCCCCAGCAGCGGCAGGAGCAGCTCACCTGGTGGATCTCCCTGCCCTCCCCAGCTTTCATGAAGGGCTCGAGGTATCCCTCCCTCAAGCAGGCCGGCTGCTTGCCAGCAAGCAGGTCCTCCCAGCCTGCTACCTGCATATGACAAGTCCAACATCTGTCCTCCCTGTGGTCAGTGACTGTCCCTCCCAGCAGCCAAGGGATCCAAATTCCAAGCTCTGGTCTGTGTAGACACGCATAGTCAGTGACTTTGAGGTGGGTACCAGGGAGAGACACTAGCCAAACCCATCCCCAAATTCCAGTCTCAGGGCATCTCCCAGTCCCTTCTCCCTCTGGGTCTTCCCCTCTGTCCTTGGAACTTCCATAGCCCACCTCTTCCACCCACACACAATACTCAGGGCTAGCTGGTCAGGGTATGGTGTATTGAAGGAGGGTACTACTGACATCAGCTGTGACCAATAATCAAGCTATGCTGAGGGGTGGCTGAGGGCAGAGTCCAACTCCTATCGATTAACCATGGGCAAAGAATGTCCCATGTGAGGTTACAGGCAACTTCATGTGACTCTGTTGTCCCTCCTGATTCAGGGCCCATTACTAGAGAGAGTGAACTGGAAACCATGCCTGAACCATTAGAGATAACACCCCCAGCCCCTTCTACTTCCTTCACCAAGCAGCAAGTCTTTGCTTAAGCCTGTGGACCAGAGTGAGCGCTGCTGTTGGAGACACAGTGCTTCTGTCCAGCAAGGCTAGGGCATCATCTGTTCTTTTCCTTCGGTATGTGTACAGGCTTAGCAATAAACCTTTGCACCAGCTCTGCTGTCCTTTCTTGGGTCGGTGTAGGGAGCTTACCATGAGTCCTGGACATTTAAGTATTATTATACATCAGTGATGTAGGAAGACGACCCCTTGCTTCAAGGTAAAGTACCTGGCCTGACTTGGGCTCTGGGGATCTTGGAGGGGGTAATGGGTCTGATTCATGACCTTTGACCGAGGCTGAGGGATATGGGAAATGTTACTGGGGCAGTCTCAGATCAGCAGGGAGTTTTTTGTTTAATTGTTTGAGACAAGGTCTTACTAGGTAGCCTAGGCTGGCTGTGAACTTATCATCCCCCTGCCTCAGAGTCTGAGTGCCAGGATTGATTATAGGCTTGCTTCTTCAAAGACACCTAGTGACAAGGAGGTCTGAGGCAGAAGTTCATCTGACAGCGACCCGCTTGGGACCTGGCTGAGCACTTGGACTTGGGAGCATGGGAGCTCAGTGAGCAGGGAAGGGGAAGATGGGTGGGGACCCTGTGGAGCGGGTCAGATGCCAGGTGGAGGTAATGAGGATTTACAGAGGCTCTCAAAGCTGGGACTGACTGTGGCTAGGATTAGGACGAGGCAAAAGTGGCCTCCAAGGGCCTGGTGTGGTAGTATTTTTAATCCCAGCACTTAGGAAGCAGCGCAGGTGGGTTTCTGTGTGAGACTATCTTGGTCTATGTAGCAAGTTCCAGGTCAATCAGGGCTACATAGAGAGACACTGCCCCCTTTTTAAATCAGAATTAGGGCAACTGGAGAAACAGCTGTTAAGAGCACGTATCGCTCTTACAGAGGATCTGAGTTTGGTTCTCACAGCAGGCTGATCACAGCCACCTGTAACTACAGTGCCAGAGGATCTGATGCTTTCTTCCGGCTTCAGAAGGCATCTGTACTCACACCCACACACCCACACAGATACACACACCTGTACTCACACCCACACACAGATACACACACCTGTACTCACACCCACACACCCACACACAGATACACACACCTGTACTCACACCCACACACCCACACACAGATACACACACCTGTACACACACCCACACACAGATACACACACCTGTACTCACACCCACACACCCACACAGATACACACACCTGTACTCACACCCACACACCCACACACACCTGTACACACACCTGTACTCACACCCACACACCCACACACAGATACACACACCTGTACTCACACCCACACACAGATACACACACCTGTACACACACCCACACACCCACACACAGATACACACACCTGTACACACACCCACACACCCACACACAGATACACACACCTGTACACACACCCACACACAGATACACACACCTGTACTCACACCTACACCCCCACACACAGATACACACACCTGTACTCACACCCACACAGATACACACACCTGTACTCACACCCACACACCCACACACAGATACACACACCTGTACTCACACCCACACACCCACACACAGATACACACACCTGTACTCACACCCACACACCCACACACAGATACACACACCTGTACTCACACCCACACACCCACACACAGATACACACACCTGTACTCACACCCACACACCCACACACAGATACACACACCTGTACTCACACCCACACACCCACACAGATACACACACCTGTACTCACACCCACACAGATACACACACCTGTACTCACACCCACACACCCACACAGATACACACACCTGTACTCACCCCCACACAGATACACACACCTGTACTCACACCTACACACCCACACACAGATACACACACCTGTACTCACACCCACACACAGATACACACACCTGTACTCACACCTACACACCCACACACAGATACACACACCTGTACTCACACCCACACAGATACACACACCTGTACTCACACCTACACACCCACACACAGATACACACACCTGTACTCACACCCACACAGATACACACACCTGTACTCACACCTACACACCCACACACAGATACACACACCTGTACTCACACCTACACACCCACACACAGATACACACACCTGTACTCACACCCACACAGATACACACACCTGTACTCACACCCACACACCCACACACAGATACACACACCTGTACTCGCACCCACACACCCACACACAGATACACACACCTGTACTCACACCCACACACCCACACAGATAGACACACCTGTACTCACTCCTACACACCCACACAGATACACACACCTGTACTCACACCCACACAGATACACACACCTGTACACACACCCACACAGATACACACACCTGTACACACACCCACACACAGATACACACACCTGTACTCACACCTACACACCCACACACAGATACACACACCTGTACTCACACCCACACACAGATACACACACCTGTACTCACACCTACACACCCACACACAGATACACACACCTGTACTCACACCTACACACCCACACACAGATACACACACCTGTACTCACCCCCACACACCCACACACAGATACACACACCTGTACTCACACCTACACACCCACACAGATACACACACCTGTACTCACACCCACACACCCACACAGATACACACACCTGTACTCACACCCACACACCCACACAGATACACACACCTGTACTCACACCCACACACCCACACACACCTGTACTCACACCTACACACCCACACACAGATACACACACCTGTACTCACACCCACACAGATACACACACCTGTACTCACACCCACACACCCACACACAGATACACACACCTGTACTCACACCCACACACCCACACACAGATACACACACCTGTACTCACACCCACACAGATACACACACCTGTACTCACACCCACACACCCACACACAGATACACACACCTGTACTCACACCCACACACCCACACAGATACACACACCTGTACTCACACCCACACACCCACACACAGATACACACACCTGTACTCACACCCACACACCCACACAGATACACACACCTGTACTCACACCCACACACCCACACACAGATACACACACCTGTACTCACACCCACACACCCACACACAGATACACACACCTGTACTCACACCCACACACCCACACAGATACACACACCTGTACTCACACCCACACACCCACACACAGATACACACACCTGTACTCACACCCACACACCCACACAGATACACACACCTGTACTCACACCCACACACCCACACAGATACACACACCTGTACTCACACCCACACACCCACACAGATACACACACCTGTACTCACACCCATACACAGATACACACACCTGTACTCACACCCACACACCCACACACAGATACACACACCTGTACTCACACCCACACACCCACACACACCTGTACACACACCCACACACACAGATACACACACCTGTACTCACACCCACACACCCACACACAGATACACACACCTGTACTCACACCCACACACAGATACACACACCTGTACTCACCCCCACACACCCACACACAGATACACACACCTGTACTCACACCCACACACCCACACAGATACACACACCTGTACTCACACCCACACACCCACACACAGATACACACACCTGTACTCACACCTACACACCCACACACAGATACACACACCTGTACTCACACCCACACACAGATACACA